GGGGGGTGAGAAGTCCATCCTCTTAGCATCATGATTTTTTAGGTCTTGAGCTCTTAAGAACTCTTAAGGCTCGGCTAATTGAATACGCTGGATTCAACTTGTGAACTGTGTGGGTTCTAAGAATGCTACTCTGTTTAAGGCACACTGTTTAGCAGTTCTACTGTAGATGTCAGTTCTGTTGAATATTTGAAGAAAAGAGTTTTATCGGAAGTGCTGGACAAAGGAGTCTGAAAGCCGGGCAAAGTTTTACATTACACATATTCTATGCAAGTTGCTATAGAGATGAGTATGAGGAAGTTTTTGTTCCACACTAATCTTGTTTTGATTCTTAGTAACTGAGTTGCTGCAGCAAAATTGGTGGCTTCTAAAACATTGTTGTGTACTTTGAGGAGAAAGCAGCAAAAAAACTTATTCATTATGTGGCAATAATTTGGAACCCAAAAGTGAAAAACAAGAGACTTTAAAAATATGATTATCCTTCCTAATTTAGCTATGGAAAGTTTAGTTTTTTTTTACTTATTAAGTTGTTTTCCTGCAGGTTTTTTTGTCAGATATTTTTTTATTTAATTGTGTCATTTTTTTGGATTTTTTTCTTACTTATTTTTTCCAAAAGAATTTGGGCCTGAAAAAAAGTAATTTTTCCACAGAATTGAAGGAAGAAATTAAAGAGACGGATTTTTTACTCTACCCATTTTTTTGGATATCACTGCTGTTGAAGCATTGCTGTTAAATGCAGAATACTTAATATTATAATCAACAGCCAGACAAGAAGAACAATTGGTAAAAACATTGCATAAATCTAATTAATTTTAAAAAAATTTGTCATCAGAATTCATTTGAAATTTTTACAAATTTTAAAAATTCAAAAAGTACCGTGATTCACTGTTATGCGTTAGTCTTGCCAAAATTGAAATTTTCTAACTGAAGCTATTGTTTTTTAAAGCAGTGAGGTCAAAAAATTGAAAATTTGACCCGTTTAATAAGACACTCATTTTTTTTATGGACAAAAGATATAAGCAGTAAATAAGCATTTGAAAGAGAACTATAATTTTTCTTGAAATATATTTGGAAATTTTAAAAAAGCATTTTGATTTGGTTATTTTTCATTTGTCTGAAT